GTAACCGATATTTGGTTGAATTTGATGTAATTTATTGATACCTACTTGGGTGTTCCACTTCTTTTGCATAAGATCTCGGATGTAAGATCTGATCGCAGGTTTGTAACCACTGTATAGAATTAGGAGTGGTGTCACAGATTTGTTAAGTGCTGCCTTAGCAGCAGCATCAGCCATTGTGTTGCCTTTTATGCCCACATGACTGGGCAACCAACAAAAGACGATGACATATTGACCAGTTGAAAGATCATTATAAAGTTCTAAAATGTTTGAAATAATTGGATGATCAGAAGAGACTTGTTTCAGTGCCTGAAGACAAGATAACGATTCGGAAAAGATTATTAATTGTTTATATGCATATGTGAGGGAAATGTCTACTGCCAGGGAGGAGAAGACAAAAGGCGGTAAGGAGAGAAAATATCTAAATCTATATTAGCAGCAACAACATGAGATTTAATCCGAATACCAAGTGGGGGAACCAGCTTTTGTTTTCTCTGAAACAGTTCGTCATATAGGGGATGAAAAACGGCGTCATAGGCAGGATTAAAAGGGTTGGATTGTAATTTAGTGATATATATTGAAGAGACAATTTAATGCGGCGTAGTTTCAAAGAGAGTTCATCAACCTCGACATAGAGGCTGTCAACAGAAGAAGTTCTAAAAGCACCAAGGCACAGTGTAAGTCCTTGATGGTGGATTGATTCTAGCTTTTTTAAATTTCTCTTGCAAGCTCCAGCATACACAATGGAGCCATAGTCTAATTTAGAGCGGATTAATTATCTATAAAAGTGAAGGAGGGTTGTCTGATCCCTCCCCACTTAGAATTCGAGACGACTTCCAACAAATCGAGAGCCTTCAGGCATTTCGTCTTTAAATATTTAATATGTGGCAAAAATGTCTATGGTTGTCGAAAATCAAACCCAAAAATTTGGCCTCTTTTACAACCTTACTTGGAGTGCCATCTAAAGAGAGCTCTGGGTCTATGTGGGGTTTATATTTCCGACAGAAATGTATACAATTTGTCTTTGTCTGTAAAAACTTAAATCCATTCTCAAGACACCATTTATGAATTTTATAAAGACACACCTGTATCTGTCTTTCAATGGTATGCATAGTTTTACCACGACATGAAATATTAAAATCATCCACAAACAATTTCCCATCTATTGAGTCATTTAATACTTTAGAAAACTATTTATATTTATGCTAAACGGACAAGATACTACCCTGTGGAACCCCCTGATCCTGATTATATTGATCAGACAGGGTTGATCCATTACAAACTTGAAATTGTCTGTCTGTAAAAAACAAATTGAGGCAAGCGGCCTCTCAAACCAAAGTCATGTAAATCTTTCAAATACCATGCTTCAAAGTGGTATCACAAGCTTTTTCAAGATCGAAAAAGATAGATATAGCATGTTGTTTATTGACAAAAGCATTTTTAATAAATGATTCTAAACGAACCAAATGGTCAATTGTCCGGGTTTTACGGAAACCACATTGGATAATACTAATCAGATTATTGGTTTCTAAAAACCAAACTAATCGATTATTCACAATGTGCTCCATGGTTTTACAAACACAGCTAGTAAATGAAATAGGTCGATAATTTGATGGATCTGTATTATCCCTGCCAGGCTTTGGTATGGATACAACTATGGCATTTCTCCACGAAGGCGGAAAATGTCCTGTTTTCCAAATGTCATCAAAAATATTCGGTAGTGTTGTGAGACAAGATTCAGGCATGTGTATTAACAGCTGATAGTGAATATCATCAGCACCAGTTGCAGTATCATGAGCTAGTGCTAAGGCAGTGTGTAGCTCATTTTTGTTGTAAGTGGATCATCAGTGGGGTTTATAGCTGCAAGTAAAATGAAAGCTGTTGGAAAATGATCACTTCCACAAAGGTCATCATGGACTGACCATTCAAATTCATTATATAAGTTAGAATCTGTGATTGACAGATCTTATGCATTATACGTACCAGTTGCAGGATGTAAATATGTGTTCGAGTCGTCGTTGAATATGCATAGATTATTGTTAGAGATAAAATCTTCAAGGATTTTCCCTTTAATATTTGTATTGGAACTTCCCCATAGAGGGTTATGTACATTAAGACCACCCATGATGATACAGAGTTTAGGTAGTTGGTAAAAAAAATCCTAAAGGTCGGACTGCTGCAAATTTGAGAATGGAGAAATATACTGAACCACAAAAAGTTCCTGTGACATTGAATAAGATTTAATGCATGTTATGTTTTTTACCAAATCTAAAACAATTTCGGATTGCAACAGATAAAAGACTCCTGTAAGTGTTCAAATTTGCCATACTGACTTCAAAAAATGCGTGATTTCATATAAAAAAAAACATGAACATGCCAAAATGTCAATTTACAAATCAATAGCGTGTGTGTCACCTCTGGTTGCGATGCAAGCAACACATCATCGTCTCATGGAATGGTCCAGGCGTCGCACAAAAGCCTGAGGGATATCTGTCCATATCTGCTGGAGCATGTTTCAAAGTTCCTGGCGTGTCTGTGGAACATGTGGTTGACGTCGAAGGCGCCGATCCATCTCATCCCACATGTGCTCGATTGGTGAGAGATCATGGGAGCGAGCCGGTGTCAGAGAGTGGGATTTCCCCCCTAGCCTAAATTCCCCCCGGAAAAGGGGCTATGTAGCCCAATTTCCCCCCGGAAAAAAGGGCTATATAGCTAAATTCCGACTTGCCACTTGTTATTCATGCCAGAGAACTTTTTTATGAACTGTTGCTGGATACTAGTAAATACTTCACGTCAGTGATTTTCTACAATGCAGTGATTAAGGGTGTGTTGGAATCAACAAACAGTGAAAGACAGTTATCTGATCGGGGGGGAAACGCCATGAGCACGGACAGATATATGCGCTATATACGTTGTAAATATACTTTATAATATACTTGGCAGTGAGAGACTGAGAAAAGTGATATGTCACTGCAACCATGATAAGGAGAACGACTGCCGTTCAAGTTTACAGTGCAGACCTGATAGAAATCAACTAGCAAAGTGTGTTTCAACTAGACTAGCAATGTGACGTATTGTTACTGAAGACAGATGGAAGATTTTAGATTCGCTGATTTACCTCAAATACACAACAACAAAATAAAAAATAAAAACACCCACATACCCTAATAAATAAATATATGATAAATAAATCATTTCATTTCGCCAGTGATAAAAGGCTGATCTGATCTGTCGAGTGACAGATCCGCCATATCTCAGTTTTGATAAGAGACATATATTTAATTATGGGGGAAATCGGACTCCAAAGCAGAAAATTGGCTATATAGTGTATTTTCCGGGTGGGAAATATGGCCATATAGTGTACTTTCCGTGGGAAGTATGGCTATATAGCCAGTTTTCCGGGGGGAGATTTGGCTATATAACCCTTTTTTCCGGAACAGGTCGAGCAATATGACGCCGGACGTTGTCATGTTAAAAGGTAATGCCTGGGCCATGACGACGCAAAAACGGTAGAACAACAGGGCCGATGGTCGCGGTAGCGCTGTCAATTGAGATTTCCTCTACTATCATCAAACGGGTCCTCTGTCTTGCTGTAATCCCAACCCATACCATAACGCTTCCGCCCCCGAACCGATCTTATTCCATGACACAATGATTGACATAACGTTCACCTCGACGTCGGTACACTGGAATCCGTCCATCGCTGTGGCTGAGGTGAAAACGAGACTCGTCAGTGAATAGAACTTGTCCACACTGCATGGCAAAAACTACATGTCTACATTTCTGCAGAATATATAAGCTGCTTAAAGACCCTGTACTATTTTTAAATGGGCACTCCTATCAAAGAGGAGTTCTTGGGCCTTTTTTCCGACAGCCATCTAACTTTCTTACCGCATATAAAATATCTTAAAGCTAAATGTCTGAAGGCACTTGATTTATTGAAAGTAGTTTCAAATTCGAAGTGGGGAAGGGATCAGACAACCCTCTTACACTTGGATAGATCACTTATCCGTTCCACACTTGATTACGGCTCCATCGTATATTGTGGAGCATGTAAAAGTATTTTTTTTAAAACTGGATACTATCCATCATCAGGGTCTGAGGCTTTGCCTTGGAGCCTTCAGGACTTCTCCCATTCAAAATCTATATGTGGAAGCAGATGAGCCATCCCTTAAACAATGCCGTCTGACATTAGCCTAACAGTACGTCAGTAAATTATATTCAAATCAGTCAAATCCAGCATATTCCATCCTCTTTAAGAAGAGTTTTACACTCTAATTCCGCCACTTGGAATAAGAATCAAATCTGTCGTTTCCGCTGATGAAATTAACTTTCAGGATATTGCCCGCATTCAATTTTTATCATCACCTGTTGACCGGACATAATCCGGACTTAGGAAATCAGACAAAAAAACACTAATTTATAAACAAGAATACAATCAATTATGAAACACTTATGGCACTTATAAATCTATATTTGCAGATCGATCCAGGGATGGTGGCGCAGTTGCTGGTGCCACTGTCATTGCCAGCTAACAGTTCCATATTCACAGCAGAAGCAAACGTCATTTTAACAGCTCTAAAATATATAAAAAAAACAATCTTAACATAAACAATTCATTACTTTTTTCTGATCCCCCTTCGTGCCTTCAAGCTATCAAAAATATGTCTTGTAAACATCCTCGTTTAATCGAGATTATTGAATTATTTAATAATCTTGCTACCAGCCAATATGACATCATCTTTTGTTGGTGACCAAGCCATGTTGGAATTGTTGGTAACACAATGGCCGATGCTGCTGCAAAAGCACAACCACAACGCAGTATTTCGAACGCACCTTTCCAAATCATGCTTCGTTGAAAACGTGCAAAACGTGATTTTGAGACATTGGTCCAGATGCACGTGCGTGATTGTGGTATAAATACCGACGTTGGACTCAGTAAGCAAAAAACCACCAAGAATATGCCCAGACTTACACAAGCACAACGAGACAGACCGATAGGTATGGCCAATGTGGGGGCTACTCAACGTCAGATAGCCAGAACCTTCAACTGCTCCCAGACCACCATCAGCAAGTTGATAATCCGCTACCAACAGACAGGACAGACTCAAGACCGGCCAAGATCGGGAAGACCGAGAGTGACAACACCGACCGACGACCGCTACATCCGGCAGATTCACCTCCGAAACAGACCTGTGACGGCGACGTCAACGGCGGAGACAGCACTAGGGCATGTCATCAGCAGGCGAACAGTCCTTCGACGACTTCGTACGGCTGGTATACGAGCCTACCGACCCTTCCGTGGAATGGCCTTGACCCGTCTACACTGTCAACGCAGACTGCAATGCGCACGAACTGTACGTCAGTGGCAGCGACGTGACTGGGCGAGAGTGCTCTTTACAGATGAAAGTCGGTTCTGTCTGTTCAGCAACGATGGCAGAGTTCGAGTTGTTCGACGAAGGGGAGAGCGACTGGCGCCAAACTGCATTAAAGAAGTTCACCCGTTTTGGGATGGATGCATCATTGTATGGGGTGGCATTTGTGGCCAGATAAAAACACGGATGGTTATCATACGAGGAAACCTGAATGCTCAGCGATACAGGGATGAAGTGTTGAGACCTGTTGTGGTGCCCTTTATTCAACATCAGCCAAGAGGATTAATTTTGCAACAAGACAACGCAAGGCCTCACACCGCCCGAATTGTTCAAGACTACCTGAACAACGTTAACGTCAACGTATTGCCCTGGCCACCTAGTTCTTCAGACATGAACTCTATTGAACATCTCTGGGATCATCTTGATCGTCAGCTGAGACAACATGTACCGCCTCCAGCGAACCGACAGGAACTTGAACAGACTCTATTGAACTTGGATTCCTGTTGACGTTATCCGCCGACTGACGACGTCAATGAGGAGGCGTGTGTTGGCGTGCATGGATTCCCAGGGTGGTCACACTCGCTACTGATGACGTGTTACCTGACTACTGTGTCATTAATGGACTTTTCCTGCACTTTTTCAATGAACTCTGATTTGTGTAATTTTTAATTTGGACCCCTCGACTCTTTCTTTGTGTATTGCGGAGAATGCAATGTCGGCATTACAATGCATTTTCATTCTTATTCATGGAAAATGATTTCTGTTTATAAATTAATCATCATAAATCTCACATATGCCTTTGTTTTTGGTGTTTGGTCAAGTGAAGTCGGTGAAAACTTTCTTTTGCCTGGTAGTTTATTTACAAGTGATAAATATTTCAGTGCATCATCATTAATGGATCTTTTTAATAATGTTCTGTTTCATATTATAATTAGCTTTTTAAAAGAAATTGAACAGATTGATAATTTTTTAATCTGTGCACATACTAATCATTTTGCCGTATCAGTAGTGTTTAACTTCTAACTGAGATTGTTAGTGGCTGTATCATCAAAGAGGGTTGAAGTACTATAAATTTATTGTCCCCCTGAGAGGGTGTGTAAGACCACGTCATTCGAAGTAAGTTTATTCCTAGTACCTGTTTTAGTCGTAGTGTACTTGTTTGTTTTAATTTTGGCTAAACTTGATGATAATCGCAAGCAGCTAGAGGATTGTGCAAATCCTGCTGGGGAACTGTGCAGGTAGCAGAAGTATAGTAATTCCCCACGGTTCCTTGGATGGTGGCCTACCTTTAGTCTCTGGCGATCACTATCCCGTTTTAAAATGTATTGTTATTTATCGTGATATCTTTTTATGGTTCCATACTAGTTTTGAAATATACATCTGTGATAATATAGTTATTTTACTGTTCTTTGACGACGGGTTTTATAATCAAATTGTACATATTATTACTGTCTAACTTGATTTAGTCACGATATGGCTGAAATATTGCCTATGTGACTATGCATCTGTGATACTCTAGCTATTTAACTGTTCTTTGACGACGGGTTTTATAATCAAAGGTACATATTATTACTGTCAAACGATTTAGTCACGATATGGCTGAAATATTGCAGCTGTGACAATAAATATTCACCAACTCACTCACTCCTCGGAAATCTGTTCTTCACTGACAGATGAACAGAGTGCATGTTTGTAAGGAAGTTTGATGTCATATAATGTCTCAAAACTGCCAAGGTGTTCATAGCAGAAAGGTGATGTTTGTGTCAACTAATCTGATTGATCAGAAAGAAATATCTCTTAGGTGTTCAAAACATGGTGTTCATGTTCAACCAGATTCTTCAGAAAGGTAGAAATAACTTAATTCAATTAACATGAGGTAATCAATACTTAACATCAAGAACTACACAGTGCAGTGTGGAATACGTTTCATGTTTCTACCTAAACCAATCCGTCAGTTTGTAAGTTTAAATGATTGCCGTTACGCACAGCAGATACAGCATTCAGTGATTCATTACAACATGTCGTTGTGATTACTATCCCTGGTACTGGATTTGGAAGACTATTCACAACTTCGTCATAATTTTCAAGTATACGTCTGAAAATTTAGCAGCTGTGCCCACTCACAATAAATGTTCAATGGTTTTGAATGTTCATATGCATAGTCGCAAGGCACGTCTTTGCAAACGCATTGTGTTCTGTAAACCTGACTTTTTATTTACACGTTCTTTATCCATTAAACATTCGAAATCAGGATAGGGTATACGGGTTAGAATGCCCACAAACTACTTAAATACTTTAATAGACTTATCTTCACCATATTTTGACATCATTAATTCATGCTACTGATAACATACCAGCTTAATGTGACATTACACGACATGAATTTTTAACTAAACAGCACTCATGAAAAGCAACCACCACGTGGTGAGTGCTGGGTAACACTAATCGCTCTTCCCCTGTGTGGACAGGGGGTAGAATGTGGCGTCAGCACCCGATTGCTTGTCATATGAGGCGACTAAATTGTGCAACCCGTTTGCCGTGGGTTGCGTCCCTGTGGAGGAAGGGATTGTGGTGGTTGAAGGCTCTGGAACCAGGAACAGGTGTTCCTTTTGCCCAATACACCACTTTGACCCTAATTTCACCTACACGGGTGGTAGAATGGGCTAGGTTTTATAATCGGCAGGTCATGCCATGCCCTGTGCATGGTCAACGTCAATTCCTAATTATATAAATATATCATGCAGTAAATATGGTACATTATTGCATTCTGCACATATTACAACTTTAGGTTCTAATCTAGGTTCTAATTGTCTTGTAATAACTGTATTGGGCAGAACCAACCTGAGTTTTATTCTGTTTGAAATTATTAGCTACCTGTGTTTGTGTTGCCAGAGTATAGTAGCCCTAGTGTATGTAGTTGGCTTCCACTGCAACACTGTCCTTGTTGACACTCATGTAACTTTAAATCATGATTTTACTTTGTGTTCTCTCCGACTGTCATATCTTCAGGCAATATATGACCGACTCATGTGTTATCATGGGAGATTTGAATGACCATAACCCACTTTGAGGTAGTAGTGACACCAACACTAAAGGCAAATTACTTGAGGATCTTTTCTTAAATACCGATTTGTGCATCTTTAATGATGGTCCTCACACTTATCTACATCCTGCAACTGGCACTTACTCATGTTTAGACCTGTCACTTGTAGATTCTAATTTACTTAATGAATTTGAATGGTCAGTCCACGATGACCTCTTTGGAAGTGACTATCCTACCTTTTTACAGTCTGTGACACCTTCTGATGTTTCTCCATTATCAAGATGGAATTTTATTAAGGCAAACTGGGCTTTATATGAAGTCCTTTGCACTAATCAACTAAAACCTGATGGGTTTTTTTATGTTCCCGACTCCAAACATAATAAAAGAGCTGATGAATGTATTTTGAAGTTCTCCCCAAATCCTCACATACGTATACCTTGGTTCAGCAATGATTGCAAACTTGCTAGGAAGGGCAAGAAAAAAAGCTGAACAATGTTTCCCTTGTCATCCTATGGTCACAATTTGAATAAGTATAAAATATTAAAGGCTAAAGTACGGCGTACATTTAAACAAAACAAGCGTTAGTCTTGGCAAAATTATGCCTCCAAGATAAATTCACATACGCTGATATCTAAGGTATGGAACATTTGGTATCCACCACCATCTGGTATCCAATTAGTAACCGATACTTCTGATATTGCTGATAAACTTGGTGAAACACGGGCTCAACATTCCTCCTCCTCTAACTATGTCCCTAAATTCCAAAAACATCAAAAGCAGCAAGAAATGAAACATATAAATGTTAATTCAGATAATGGGGAAGATAACAATGAAATCCATTCCATTCATGAGCCCAATACTGCCCTTGGGCAAGCTCATGAAACTTCTACAGTGTCTGACAATATACATTATCAACTCTTAAAACATTTACCACAATACTGTTTAGAAACCCTCTTGAAGATGTTTGGTAAATCTGGACGCCGTGAGAATTTCCTTCTTCATGGCGTGATGCTATGATTGTTCCCATACCTAAGCCTGGACGTGATCATTTCATAGACTAGCTGTGTTTGCAAAACCATGGAACGCATGGTCAATAATAGATTAACATGGTACTTGGAATCAAATGATTTATTAACAAACATTCAATGTTTAGGGCTTCGTTAATCTGAACAAAATTTATTTAAAAATATAAATACAAATCCTACACGTTGTTGCAAAAGATTCTTGATAATCACACACTGTACGGACAATAACATTTGACTTTATTTAACTCTGAACAACACATCATTTTATTATACATTTATGAACCGCACTTATCCAGGTACTAGTATCTGCTCAAATACAGTTTATTTCTTCCCCGACCAGTAGATCCGTAAGCATTCCAGTTATCACTCTCAACTCCCTGGGGAGTATGCAAATCAAATTGCCGACTGGCGTTTTCACATCGACCTCACATATTGGGTATCCATTCCTTGGTGGGTGAACCTAGGCACATTTACGTTGAGCCACTTGCCCAGTATGACACTATACGTTTTGGACACTCGTGAAGAGCAACCTCCCCATGGTAAGTGCTGGGTAATACTAATAGCTCTTCGCCCGTGTGGACCCGGGGCAGAATGTGTCCTCAGCACCCCATTGCTTGTCGCAAAAGGCGACCGAATTGGGAACCTGTTTGCCGTGGGTTGCGCCCCTGTGTCGGTGGAGGACGGGATTCTGGCGGTTGAGGCCACTGGAGCCAGGAACCGGTGTTCCTTTGCCCAACACACAACTTTGACCCTTACTTCAGCTAGACGGGTGGTAGTTTTGATACTTTGTCTCGGATGGATGAACGTATAGTGTTTCCATAATTTGGTCATCCTCCACCGGATGAGTGGGATTTTGAGTGTACGGGGTGAACTAAGGATATCAACAACACTGTCAAGACAAATAGTTTAGGGTATATTTTACTCAAAACCTATTCGTCTCCTGGAGGAGATAGTCCTCGATCCAATAACAGCCAGCGCCACTATCATTCGATCCATCTGTCAATAAAGATCTGTTTCTTCATTATATAGGGGGCACGGGTGGCCCAGTCGTCTAAGGCGCCGCGACTTGCTGTGCAGAGTTGCGATATATAAAATATACATCCAAAATCACTTTTGCGTTTGTTTTCTTTTAGATGCCACAAAATTGTAATTGAAGGTCAAAATAACATGCATACTTCGATTTATTGTTATCATACATGGACATTACTAATTCATTTGAATACCACTGATAACATATCATCTTAAGATGCGAAGAAACCTATCAAACTTGGGGTGGATACATGGTTAATATTAGAGAGCCAATAGCCACCATTGTTCTCCTTACCCTCATCGACGCTAGTTCTAATCGACTTGGCCTCACGCTATAATCTGTACAACCTGAAATCCCTGAACCAGGGCTGTCAGTTGTGTATCTCGTATACATCTTTCAGCATGACAATTAAGAGATGGACGCTTAACATCCGTCACCTGTTAGCAGCTTGCTTGGTATTCGGACAGCTGGTAAATTCAATAAGCTTCATGAACATTGGCATCAAGTTATGTCAATACAAGTGTATACAGTATGGCTGTCGTGGTATTCGATACAGCATTGAGGATCTAACTTGTCACCTATCAGAAATGGACTCAAAAGTGTTTATGAAAGAGACCGGACACTTCATTGGACCTACGCATCTTTCAAATGTAAGATTTGTACACGATGCCTACAATCATCTGCTTTTCGTAACATGACCAATTGTGCACAGTGATGTGTAGGATGACGAGCAAAGAAAACTGCATAGCAGTATCACTGCACCATATATATGATATATGTTCCATGGGCTCATACAGTTTTCTATATGCTGCCATTCACTACTGGAAAAAGACTGCTATCTGACTACTATTGCGCTTGTAAATTCAAAGAAGCTTCATGTGAATATTTTTGGTAAGATGTCGGTTCGAATCCTCTTTTGCCCCCGTTAAGTTTTGGGGGCATGGGTGGCTCAGTCGTCTCAGGCGCCGCAATTCGCTGTTCACAGTTGCGTCCCTTGGGCATGCAAGAAACCTTTGATTCAGAGTTCGAATCATTAGCATCACTGATAACTGCCCTTCCATATTAAACTGACAAGGCGCGAGTCAACTGAACAATAATTCAAGCAGTGTAAGACCCAATTCATTTCCTGATTTTACACAAATTATGATAGTCAAAATTACACAGTGTAATTACTTACTAAACTTACTTAATCCCGAATGTCCCCTAACATCTGCTTTCAGGTCCGAGCAGGCGTCTGTGCATTCAACATTTGTGAAGGGAGGAGATGCCTGGAGACTCGTGCTGGAAAGACTGCCTGTGTCAAAGGTACCTACGCTGCAAGAGGCGACTATTTTTGTGGTAAGAGGCAACTAATGGGACCGGGTGGTTAGGGTCCCTGATTTGGTTGATGCATGTCATCGTATCTCAATTGCGTAGATCGCTGCTCATGATGTCTATCACTTGATTGTCTGGTCCATTTACAGACCATAAATATGGAATTTGGAATATGGAATATTGCTGAGTGCGGCATAAAACAATCAAAGTTACTTACCAACATTTATTGTTAAACATTAATGAGTAACATGCGAAAAGTAAAAATCTAAACCTTGTGTCATGTCTGCATGTCATTTTCCAGGAGGACATAATCAGGCACAACGACAGACCACTGTTATCACTACTCTCATCGATGCCTGCACCGTTGGAGACCTGCCTAAAGTAAAATACATATTGTCTCAAGATATTGCAAACATCAATAAAAGTGGGAAGAAAGGTATGACACCAGCGATGATAGCAGCACAGAAAGGACACAGAGAGATACTTGAATTACTTGTGAAGAAAGGTGCTGATCTGTGTCTATTAGATGATGATGACAACAGTATCTTACATGTGGCCTCTAAAGAAGGAAACTTGGAGATAGTGAAGTATATCCACTCACAGAACATCATTGACATTGAAAGTAGAGGGGACTACGGGAATACACCAGTGATGTTAGCTGCACTATATAGACAGATGGAAGTGTTTTTCTTTCTTGTGAACATGGGAGCTCATCTATCAAAATTGGATGAGGACGGTGAGAATATCCTTCATCTTTCCAGTCGAGGAGGCGATGCAAAGATAGTGAATTGTGTCCTCAAACGAAACGTTGTTGACATAAACAGTAAAGGGGATGACGGGGTGACACCATTGTTGCTGGCAGCATATATTAGGAGAAGAAAAGTGTTTTACCTTCTCATAGAGAGAGGAGCTAATACATCAGCAGTGGATTGTGATAATGAAAATATCCTCCATTATTCCAGTCGAGGAGGAGATGTAGAGATAGTGAATTATGTCCTCACACACAAAATTGTCGATATAAACAGTAGAACGAACGCCTTGCAGACACCAGTGTTTGTGGCAGCGATGTCAGGGAGGACCAAAGTGTTTCAGTTATTGATAAAAAGAGGAGCTGATATCGCAAAAACACATGACAGTACGAAACTCCTTAAATATGCCTGTAAAAGTGGAGCTGCTGATATAGTGAAGTGTGTCCTCAACCTAACCAAGGTGGACATCAACTGTGATTTGTCGGATGGGGCCACACCATTGCTGTATGTAGCACTCTTGGGGCACACTGAAGTGTTTAAATTACTGGTAAGGAAAGGAGCCGATGTGACAAAGGTAGATGATTATAAGGAAAATATCCTTCATCGTTCCTGTAAAAAAGGAAATTTGGAGATCGTGAGATATGTCCTCACACAAAACATGGTTGACATCAACAGTAAACAAGGCAAAGGGATGACAGCGGTGTTACTTGCAGCACAATCGGGGATAAGGGATGTGTTTGACTTACTGACCGAGAGAGGAGCTGATCTGTCAGTAGTAAATACTAATGGGGAAAACGTCCTTCATTTGGCCTGTGACGGAGAAGATAAAGAGATAGTGAAGTATGTCCTCACGCAAAACATTGTGGACATAAACAGTAAACAAAATGAAGGGATGACAGCGGTGTTACTTGCAGCACAATCGGGGACAAGAGATGTGTTTGACTTGCTGACGGAGAGAGGAGCTGATTTTTCGGTAGTAAATACTGATGGGGAAAACGTCCTTCATTTGGCCTGTCGAGAAGGAAATGAGGACATTGTGAAATATGTGTTGTCACATGGCATGGTAGATATAACTGCCATAAATAAGAAGAAATTAAATGCGGCCATGATAGCTAGGAAACACGGTTACTTATCAATAACAAAACTACTGTCAAAAGTCTCTCAAGGGAAGTAATATCCCAATAACAGTGATCATTAATAACCTCTGAGAAAGGACATATGTCAATTAATAGTACACAGTTGGCATGCTCTATATTCGAATGCACTGTGGTTCATTGTTGCATAGAAAAAAGTAAATATTATTTGAAGTAAGACAAGTTCTATGGATGAACAACTTCTTTATTACAATTAGTGCAACGTGTAGATTTTCTAACACCTTTATCAAGCAAGTGATGGATAGTGCTAAACAACATAGGTATATATACTTATTAACATCAATGTTTATGCTATGAATTGATTGATGGACATAGAGAACGGTTCCCTCCCATAACGTCGACCTCCAAAATGCAGACCTCCCAAAAAGCATGCTGGTCACACCTAATTAATGAATGGACTGGTCCACTCCCCTGCTATGGGGGATTATCAATATGTTGAGACAATGAGCAGTAGTGGACAACAACAACATTGTCTTGAAAAAACTCCTCCTTTCTTTAATCTGCACCCTCCTGGTACATCACAAATCTTATTCAAACATTACCTTTAAACAAGTTGTGTGATTTGTGTAAGAATATACCAAATGTTCTCAATCACTAATACTTCCTTCTCTTGTGTATGGTATAACATATAAATATATTTGAACATGAGCTTCAACCTCAAACTAACTCTATTTCTGAGAGATGGACAGCTACTCGAACGTATATAAACAGGGAAGCCAAGGATAAAAATGAAATCATATCAATAAAAGAAAATAGAATAGAGGTCCAAGATGCCCCAAGGGCCCCGTACAAACAACAACCTAGAAGGTTTCCACTCCAGAATCGGCAAGTCCCTCCAGCACAAGCAGACTGGTAGAGATGAATGGAAGCCAGTGGATTAATTGGATGGACATAGGGATTTAGCAATTAGGTGATGGTAGGCAGGCAGGATGTAGTAGCCTTGATCTCTTTTTATTGCTGGCTGGATCCTTTTGATGTAGATGGCTTCTAGGAGTTTTCAGATTTTGTAGTCTGACTGATTGTTGGCCAGGATCTTGATGCTGTTCCACTGGATGTTGTGGTCGGGGTGGGTTTGGGTGTGGTCGGAGATGGCTGATTTTGAGTCATTTTGTTACTGAGGTCTTGTGTTCTTTTATTCTAATGGGTAGGGGCCTAGATACCTTGACACTGACAATATGTTAGATATTGTTCAAAGCATTATGAATAGTATCGGGTAACTTTTACTCATAAAATTTATAGATATGGTCACTTTATGTACTCTCCCGGAAAAGAAGGGAATATTTAAAGAGATGATTGCAGAAATACAAAGATGTATCCAGTGATGGTAATAATAGTGGACTGACCAGGTTTTCCAAGGATTCAAACAACCAAGACAGGAAACAGGGTTGTGTAGTCAAAAACATAAGTTTGTGATGACTTGTTTAATATTGGGTGATGCCCCTACGATTGGTCAAACATTCATTACTACGCCATAACATGGTGCGAAGCAATATGCCAAATGAGAGAGGGAGTATTGACCATTCCCCTCTGTTGTTGTTGGAAGCACGTTTCGGTAATATACAAGTGATTATTAAAGTGTGCGATTGGGAAGCCGGGGTAAAATGTGTCCTCAAGTGTACAATCTGTTTGCCACGCTTTGAGCACCTCTGTCGTTGGAGAAGAAAAATCTGGTAGATGAGTGCACTTGTTCCAGGAACACACCACTTCGAGCCTTACTTGAATTATTCCAGTTCTATAAATTTGCTGGTGACCATGTCCTACATATAATGTATGAACATATTTGATGGAAATTTTTAAAAAAAGCTATACATGTTTATTCTTCAGCGATTGGTATGTTATATGTATGTTGAATAATAAATATTATTATATCAATATCGGAATGAATCTCATTGCAGTGTCAGGCATAAATGGAGATGTTGCCAAATAATTGCCTGAAAAGGGTGACCCTAGCCTTTGACTTATTCCCCTATACAAGACTTCAATTCACTGCACACTATGCTGCCCCCCCCCCCCCCCCCTCCCCGAACTACCCCCCCGAACTAAAGCCCCGACCACGCCCCCACCTTCCACCTCTGACCACGCCCCCACCTTCCACTTCCGACCACCATCTCAGTATTTCCAAAACATATTGCAACTGTACGATCGTTATGCACATGCTTTCATTCTGTACCTTCATATACGCATTACACCAAAAGTCACTTACTTTATTCAACAACAAAATAAATCATTACATTCACAAATAACTGACAATTCATAGTGCTGTATAGAATGATTTCCATGATGTTATCCTTTTTTCAGGTGAATGCTTGACTTACCTTTGCATGTGTTTGTCATGGGTTTACATTTAACGTCATCATTTCTCATCCCTACATAAGCAATACTGTGTGACTTCTAATATGGACAAATAATGAATGTCAATATTTTTTTTCAATTGTGTGAAGTCATCATGAACCTGCAAAAAAATTACTGCTAACACAACAATCCAGTGAATATATATTGGTGCACTCAAATACACTACTTACTGAAAAGGTTCGGAAGAAATTATTTTGTTGTCAACTGCGAAACACGTAGTATGTGAGTTACTTAACCGAAATTGTAAAAAATTTCAACGAATATTTTTCTGCCTAAGTCAACTTTTATTAAAAAAACATTCATATCAATTTCTAGTCCTCTATGATATAGTTTATATCAATTATACATGTAAGCAATACACGACACACGAAGGGACAGCATTTCCCAAACATATCCATCCTAGGAAATGAACGTGTTATGCCCTACGTTTTGAATGTAGGTATCATTTGGCTAAATTTTAATTTATGCAATGAAACAGCATTCACGTGACTATGAACATATACTGAACCGCAAGAGAAACGTTACCCCAAGTAACATTGCATGAAAAGTTGTCATTTGAATATCTGGGTAATTTTTGTTTGAGTTTCTAAAATTTAACATTACCGTGTCCTGAAAAATGAAATTTGATGATATAAAACAAAGTAGATGACAATAAAACCGATCGCCCAAACGCATCACGGCAACGGCCATGGTAACCCGATGCACCTGAGTTCCATGCAAATTGAAATGTACATCCGATCCCCCATTTCTAGCCCTATAAAAATCCACCCAGATCGGATAACATTCATTCGTTGCTACCACATGCCGAGATTGACAAGAAATCAGAGACACCAAGCCCTTGGACGATTGCAAGCTGGACAAACCGCCTGGCAAGTAGCCAATGAATTTTGAGTCCACCGTATACAGGCTCCACCAACACTAAAGATGACGGACCACGTAGTGGAAGACCAAGGGTCACCATCCGACGTCAGGATCGTCAAATTGTGCGACTTCATCTTCAAGATCGCTTTGTTTCTGCTGCGGAAATTGCTCGACAGACCATGGGGACACAGCAGCGACACATTATTGAAGACACAGTGCTTCGACGATTGACGAGCAGACACCTCCACTGTCACAGGCCACACCGAGGATCCATTCTGACAACACGTCATCGCCGTACCGTCTTCAGTGGACAACAATCACCAGCATTGGCGCCACAAGCAGTGGAGAAGTTTCCTCTTCTCAGACGAGAGCCGTAACTGTATCTCAACAGCAGATGACAGGGAGATAGTCTGGCGACACCGTGGGGAACGTTATTCGGATGCTTTTGTTGTTGAGAGACTCGTGGGTTGGTCCGAGCATCTTTGTCTGGGGTGGCATTGGGTCGGCCCTGTGGTCTTCCAGAACATGGGTCCAGGGAGAGGCAATGGTGTCACAGCAGCTCGGTACATTGATCAAGTCTTGAGACCACACGCCATGCCTCATTTAGCACGTCGACACAACCACGCGTTTCAGCATGATAACGCCCGTGCCTACACTGCGAGAGCAACAAGAGACTTCCTCCAGTAGAATGGCATCAGAACCATGTAGTTGCCTGCCCTCAGTCCCGATTTAAATCTCATTGAGCACCTGTGGGACGAGATTGAAAGACGGCTGAATGACGTCCGACCAAGGCCGACAACTGCAGCTGAACTACGTCAGGCGTTCCTGAGAGTGTGGGCTCATGTGTCCATGGCCTTCATCAACCTCGTCATCCATTCCATATATCGACGTTGCACGGCAGTCATCAATGCACATGACAGACGCACACGATGGTGACTGTGATGCCATTTTCTCAGAGACTAGTGTTGTGTTTCACTTAAAGAACATTTGACACTTTAATTTCAACCTTGATGATCAGTTTTGCCAAGGTTCATCCTTTTAATATGTCTCAGAGTATGTTTACAGTGTTTGAACAAATAAGGTTTCTCATCTATCTATCCAAGGTGACGTTTCTTTTGCGGTTCAGTATAGATGAGATGTGTAAATATGCCAATCGTTTTCTTGTATTTCCTAACATGTGAAATAATCGTAAATGTTGTTCTTAGATTTCACATATTTCATTACCCTTGAAATCGTGCATGACAAGGTTAGATTTATCCTATTTCTTCATACGCTCCTAAATGTTCTGTCACAGGTGAGTGGAGAATTACCATATTGGCAAAGAACAATCTTCATTTCAGTGGTTTGGTAACATAACTGTAATATATTGCCTGCCAGCATGGGCTCGTTAGGGACGTAAGGCAATCAGTAACATATGGCGAGAGGGATCGTTTTAAACCACAGACCATTTGAAGTTTCCTGTGTGGGTTGAGTAACATGAGTAACATAAGTAATGTCTGGTCCAGACTTGATTATTTACATACCGCCGTGATATAGCTGGAATATTGCTGAGTAACAAAACAAAACGCATTGAATTGCTATTATGTTGCACGTACACACTGGCGTACAGGGAGTATAATGTAAACGTGAATATGACGTGACACGTTAAGGTCATTTGTTAGTGAGTCAGAATTTAAAGTCACATCTGCAATGTTTCGGCTATATTGTGACTTGAACAAGTTACTCTTTTACCATAATACATTCAGTCTACATACAAACCTGCAACAATGGACAGTAAAACAGAGTATCGCAGTTTTGTACCAGCACC